ATATCAGCATTTTAGTTGAAAGTACGTTTTGCTCGTCGCTCTCTTCATCGCTCCACTACATTCCTGTCCTTAGTTTTTTTCAGATACCACAAATGCGCGATCCAGAAAATTCTTCTATCATTCTTGCCACAAATGTATGTTTTCTTCGAAAATACTCAAGTACTACCAGTAAAGTACTCTACTGTCAAATACCTTTTACTCGCAGTAGTTGCGGAAGGCAAAGTAAATACTCTACGCGTCTTGCTATTGATCGGTAGTTTACGTACGCTTGCAGAAACTGGTTTATGCTTACTCACAATTGACCCGAACGATGAAAGTAGGGGATGGAAAGTATTTGCGCGGCGATCGGATGTCTTGTTGGGCCGTTTAAATGGAATTGCGCTGGAGTCTAGTACATATGTACTCTTAATGACGTAATGGCACATGTAGTTTTTATTTATTTATAAAATAGCATTAAGTTCACTAGTATTGAGAATACGCTGTTTTCAAGACAAGTTCTCCATCTAGGCTAGGATAGAGGGCCGTTTCCGTGGGTAGAAGCACACTTAGACAATGCTTGGGCTGTCCATTTGGGTGCCTTTAATGAGGAAGGGCAAAGACACAGGAAGGCAGGAAGGAAGAGGATTATAAAAGGGGAGATGAAGGAACAGAGCGTTGACACCTATGACTTCTTATAAGAAAAACGCATCGTGCTCACCATGAAGCTCCTCAAACGACTGATATCCATTCCCGAAAGCTAATCGGGCACCTGAGTAGCAGGTGTTGAGATGATTCCACATCATCGTCATCCATGCAGCTGAGACAGTAGGGGTCATCGAAGATACTAAGCCTTACCGCATGCTTACCTATCACGCAATGATCAGTTAAAACTCCCACCATTAGCGAGGTGTGTACCGTGCTTAGTCCCAATAGCTCTCTGGACCGCCCACGGTTTACTCGTGGCCAGAAGGATTTTGTCGCCTTGCATTCCAAGGTCTCCGCTCATCTGTCCAGGAGTAGACCTCGTGAGGTCAGGGCAGAACCCAGACCAGCTCTGCCCGGGAGCAGTTCCTGAAGGGTTCCCTGTCTTGCCAGCTCATCGGCCAAGTAGTTTCCAGCGATTTCACTGTGATATGCAACCAAAATAAGCTTAATAGCTTAATAATCCGGTGCCTAATAATGAGAGCTTTGATGGCTGCGCGGCTGTCGGAATAGATATTCTAGAATGATAGAATACAAGATTGCGCATTCCTGCGGGTGATGACGTCAAGATAGCAACGAATAGGAAAGAATAATTGGAGATGGAGGAGAGAAAGAGTGTTAACTGTCAAACCATGGAGGTCGCCATATTTACATACATATAAAGATCTCTGCATACATACAAACAGTTTGGTAAAATGACGTCAACGACGAACAGCTGATTCTGTCAAATTCGCCAGGAACAAAGTAGCGGTACTGCTGATTGCGCCACCTATGTCTCCCTACATCGTGATAGATATTCACCTCCTTGAAAGGAATTACACTACAGAGAAACCAATCCGAAGCCACCTGTATTGCCGCTCCTCTGCGTGGAAAACGCTCCATCTAATTAAATTATAATTTTTTCTATGGTTTGCGTTAATTTTTTATAATGATTTTTTTTTTTTTTATTTCATTAAATCACCCAAATAAAGCACCCTTTACTGCTCGCTTATTCGTTCATTACCTCAGCGTTCATGCTCTAACGTCATATCTGGTATGCTTCCTCACAGCTTCAAGACGGTTTGTCTCACACCTGTAATGTATTTAATGTGCGATTGCTCATAGCATACGGAAGCAAATTAGTAATTGATTGAAACAACAATAGCAATAAATAATAAAAAAAAATTAAAAATAAATACAAATTACTTGCCAAATTGATTGGTATCTGCAATATGACTGACTACACATACACACGCTCACAAACTTATTTACACTCGCACTTGGCCATTTAACGCGTTGTAATCTTCATTGTTGCACGTCCGTCCTCCCTGGCTTGTTTTCTACATTACATATTTGCCCATTGCTTTTCAGTATAGATTTTGCATTTAGACAATTAAGTAGTACACGTTTCAAAGATTTTGCTGCTTTTTCTGCATCGATCGGCTGCATAATTCTTCCGACTCCATTCGCTAAATAAATACTACTCAAAGTATGTTATTCTTCAAGCGCTATCTCGAGAAGTCACAGCTAGTTGCGCAAAACTTCATTGAGGCCAACAACAGTGTGCCCTGTTATGTGAAAATGCGTGAGCTGCCACCACCCAGGAAACTCGATCTGGTGCACGATCTGGTGGCGTTGTGTGCAATGCCTTTCGCCATTTACACCTGCGACTGGATTGTGGATGAGTATTTCATAGATCACGACGATGATTACCTTGTAAGCTGCACACAAGCTCGCTAATTGTGTGTGTGTGTGTGTGTGTGTGTATTAGCCTGAAAAGCGAAAAATAAACTTTGCAACTTTACACATTAAACTTCATTGGCATGCGCCTGCATCATTTGCATTTGCTGTTGTTGTTGTATGTATGTATGTATGTACATATGTATGTATAAAAGCTCATGTGTTCGTGCAACGTCCAGCGATTCGATTCTTGGCTGCTATGAATAATCGTGTGTAGGATAAATTAGCTTGATCGTCAATCTATTAGCGGGGATGGATCATTCTGGGCAATTGGACAATCTCGAGAATGGCTAATTTGTTTGCTTAATTAGTTTGTGTTGCACACTAATTTATTATTCATTAACTTTTTGCATATATTTTTGTTTCAATTCATTGCATCCATTTTTTTTTTATGCT